ACTATTAACTGCAGCAGATGAACTTGGTATTGAGTCACTTTATGAATATATGATGAAATACTTTATTGAAAATTATGAAGACTATATAAAAGAAAGTCCAGTTAAAATTCTTCAATTGATTTATGCTAACAAAAATTTTAATGAATTGAAAAATATTTATTTGGAAAAATTTTGTGAATACAGTGAAAAATGAATCAATGATAGATAATATATTTATTATTAGAAAACTTCCAATTCATCAAATTTAATGCCATGCACTATATTTATGTTATTACAAGTCTTTGGATTACTATAAAAATGACAATAACCGTCTATATGAAAATAAAAATCAGTATAATAAGTCATCGTTCAAATAGAAGATAGTGGATCTTTTATGATATTATTAGAGGAATAGAAAATGAGGTTATTATCTTGAACCATTGCAAAATATTGATCAGGTAAACTAGACTATTATAAGATTCTACTATATACAACTATCAAGATATTAATCTATGTAATGTGATTGAACAATTGACATATTGTCAACAAGAATCTCTTTCATTATACTCATTTATCATGGTACTTATATACAATGAAATATCTAATGCTGGCAATTACTGATTGGATAGGTATTTGTGTAAAAATAATGATATTATTGACCCATCTCTATTTTTTTTTTCAGATTCAATGAACTCATATCATTGATAGATATGATTTTTTATGAGGACAATCTGAAGAACAAAAAAATAAAATAAAGGTATTTGGTTAAAAAAATATAAGAGGAATAGTAGCAATAACTGATATCATAACTGATTTGCCAATCGAAAAGCCAACCAAAGTTGTTAATTTAGTATTAATGATGTTAAAAAAATCTATTATTTGCAAAAATTGCGAAATAAAATCAAATATCATTCTGATCAAATTATTTATTTATTTTTGTTAATGTTATCTATTGCACTGATATTAATGATAATCACTCATAATATCCGAATCATCAACGTAAATATTAGTTATTTACACTTTAGTACCTTCTCTTAACCAATATTGTAAATATTGTGACTCAATTAAAAAATCAACAATATCTCCTACTTTGAAATAAATAACAATCTATTATGGACTTAATTGTTAGAAATTTTCCATTTATTTAAATTAAAATTAAATTATAAAATTGAGAATTGCTATTTCTCACCAGTGGTGATTGTCACCACCTAAGGAATTAAATTTGCGTGGGGGCGGAGTTAGAGTTGGGTTAATCATAAATTGTATAATTC